GCAAACTTCACCGTAGTATTTGAAGATTGAATAATATTCTCGTCCAAAGGTCGTTAATAGATTTTCCGCTCTTTCAGATTAAAATATTCCAAAAGATTTTATGTTTTTTGACTAGCCCGGTTAGTGGTAGTCTGTTAGTGGTTGTTTTCTTTTCGACTAGGGCATATTCTGTGGGGAAGATGGGCTATTGTCCGAGTCATATCCTATTTCCTCACGCTGACAATTCTTGTTTTCCGGCGGAGTATCTAGATAATCATCCTCAGCTCTATAATCAACAGTCCAATTTTGTGCCTTCTTGTTAGACATGATTGATTTTCTTTATATCAATAATATTCCGAATTAATAATCCGTTAGCTGCTGTAAAAAGATCTTTTCAATGCTTTCAGAATCGCGAAATAAATAAAATTGGAACCAAAAAAACACGAGGCGTGCTCCACAAAACTTGAATTGAGGATTCCATGAAAATGAACATAATCAGTATGAAAAAAATGGCAGAAAGCTTGAAGTATTTTTAGCCGACAAAAATTTTGAAAATCTGTCGATACATCATATGATATGTTTACAAGAGCCCTGATTTGAATCCAATGGAACAGTGAAAATTAATTCACTTTCCTCTTTTGCAAATTTCAAATCAGGAAGTTGGTGATTTCTGCTTTGCGGATTACGAAGGCAATTGGAGCAATTATTTCCATGGATGTAAATTATTCTGTTGATATGTGGTCGGCACACGTATTCCGAAAAAAATTACGTACAAAACTGGCCTGAATATGTTTCAAGAAATATTTTGAGAGCCATTGTTCTTAATAAAAATTGAAAACCTAACTTATGGTCTATATATAATAAGCCGTTGGATTTATGAAGATCCTTATAAAATTGTTGAAAATAAAATCAAAATTTAGTAATTTGTTACTTATTTTTTCGTCTAATGCCTTAACAAATTATTTCGAAAAAAATCTTCTTCTTAGGTATTGCTCTACCTCAGAAGAAGATATTTTTTGAAATAATTTGTTTAGACGAAAAAATAAGTGACAAATTACTAAATTTTGGTTTTATTTGCAATCATTCGCAATCATTTTAATGATAAGAAGTGATTTGAATCCAGCGGTTTTACCGGCAGCTTAAGTGATTGACGGTATCTTTTTGATGTTTATTCAGAAGACATATTTATGTCAGCAGAGTTAACGGCAATACCAGAGCAAGAGGGGTAATTACAACTCCTACAAATCCACTGTTTACAGTTACTTTAATTACAAATTTGTGTTCCATAGAAAATTTTATTCAATTTGAGTTTACAGAAAAAATATCAAAAAGATAAATTTGTATCAGACGGCCATTGATGTGTTAATATGAGATTAACACAACAAAAAGTTAAGTAAATCCGATAATGTTATTACAAAGTTGTGCGTCGTTTTCTTTACCAAGTTCGACTGATCAGATTTGAGCTTGAATTTTGTTCCGATTTTCTTAAGATGTCAGACAGATTAATAAAAGAATTGGTTCTGTAAATTGTGGATACTACAAATTGTTCATAGTTTTTGAAGAGGAAACTCGTTCTATGTTTAGAATTATCTAATCGTCGAAGTAGGTTTTAAAAAAGCTTTTTTTTCCGGCTAGGTTTTTTACGGTAAATTTGAAAAGTCGAAGTCAACTATCCATCTCCTAAGGCGAATAACGTACGACTTGTTTCCGTGATTATAACATAATGTAAGGCCGTGTGATTGTCCCGGAAAAGTAATTTTTATAATGTTCGATGGCCCATACGATGCCTATTAATTTGAGCACTTCCGTTGAGTATTCAGCTTTGCAAGAATTTAAACGTCTACTCTTGAATAAGACTGCTGTCTAACCACCTCTAGTAAAGAGGCCGTTATGAGATGCACGAGTGTTAACGCTTCTTTTAGCTGAGCATCAAAATGAGTATTCTCTGTAAGGTAAACTCTCTTTGAATTCAACTTTTCAAAAGCGACAGTTTATTCATCTAGTTAAAAAACGATTTCCTGTTTAACGATGGTCTCAACGGGCTTGAACAAGTTTCATATTTCGATTTTTTGATACGCAAATCTAACAGTAACCTTCTTCTCTTAAACAGAGTTGGTCTGAGGGGTTCGTGAAAATGCTTTTCTTTTTTTTTGATTTTTTTGTTTATCCAATTTTTTCAGAAAGCAGATGAATTGTTTTTGAAAACTTTTTCAGATTCCTTCTTGGCAGATTTTGCATATCAGATTTTACAATTCACAAACTTTCAGGAGTGTTTATGAAGTAGAGATTTTACAATTCACAACCTTTCAGGAGTGTTTATGAAGTGGAGAAAGGGTTTCGGTGGAACTACTATCTCGACGAGAGGAAGATTTTCGTCTCCCAAGAAGTTGCGTCGTTCGTGGCCACCGGTGATGAAAAAGGAATTTTTGCCGAATGATCATCCGTTGCATCTGATTGCGACTTTCAATTGACCAACTGTTTTTATGGGGTCGTTTGTAAACCCGCAGTAATGATCCTTCGATTCAAGTTCTACTGGAAGAGTTTCAAAAACGATTCGCTCAACTTTAGTTCGTGAAGTACGATCTTCCTTAGGAAACTCACCGGGTTTGCCAAATCCACTTGAAACTTCAATTAAACAAAAAAATCAATCCGATAAAATGTCAATGACGAAGAAAAGTAGTTGAAGATGTTATTGTTCTAAAAAAGTTTTTTTCATCATTGACATTCTACTATGCCTTAAATATACCACGACATACTTTATGTAAATAGTTTTTTTCAACAAACTGGTCCGACTTAGATAGGAATTCGGTATCCATAATTTTTCGAATATTGGCAATCTAAACTTTCTTTCTTACTTCATGATTTACAAATTTTGGTGAAATGACATTAAAAGGTACTCGATTTACAGAGAGCAATTTTTTCTGGGCGAAATTTCCTTGAACGTTTTTCCCGCCACATTTCATACACGAATTTTATGTACTTACAGACAATTTGAGCTCCCGTTTGTTAAAGTTTGTTCACAGAAATATTATGCACAATAAGTGCAGTTGAAAAGTCGTGGGTCATCTTGCGATAACTCACAATCCTCTTCTCACTTATTAAAGCTACGCCTAAGGCTTCGTGAGGTGGCAAGGTTTTCGTGGGTTTTTTGTTTCAGATTTCATAGCTCTTTATAACAAAAATTACCTCGACTTTGTTCGTTTTTTTTTCAGCTATCTCTGCCAGCTCGCCCCAAAAATCCTCTAAGCGTTTTCTTTCCTGTTGGCATCTGTTTGAGTTTTTGTGGTATTCAAATGTTAAATTTGGCTGTTTAAAATGCTTGATTTAAGTATTCCCAGAGTTCTGCAAAACTGATCGGAAGGATTTCTTACCGTTAAAATTTCTGAGCAAAAATGCGTTTTCCTTCATTTCTTAGTGCCAGTTAGAGCATTGAGTGGATCTTATTGTTTACTTCTTCGATGCTCATGCCATTAGAAGTCTTCTCTCTTGTTTGAATCTAATAGTTTCAATTTCGTTAAAACGTTTCTTTACTGCCACGTTCCTTGCTAGACGTTCGAACATCGCCGTGGTGGTTTCGTTTTTTGTTCTTCGATTTGGTTCAACTCCAATAAAAAAATATATTTTCAATATCAAAGTTTTCTTTGCCTATTAGTGACAATTGAAATATAGCCTTTCAATCTTTCCGAAGTGTCGGGGAAGACAATTGTGTGAGTTTGCCAGATTCGTTTACAGATGACTGCGCCGCAAGCCAAACTTCTATTGTTCTGTCTAAACTAATTTTAACAAAAATAAAGAAGTGAAGAGAAGATTTCAATTAAAATGTGTGCTATTTCTAACAAAATGCAATAGCACTGAGTTAGTTCTTTCCGAATGAGATCAATATGAATAATTTCAAGGTCTTAGACGACCTGTTTGAAAAAAGTGACCAATTTGGGGTAACTAACGTGCAATCTTTTTTTGTACTAGTAACGCAATCGTGCAGATTCCCTCCTTCTTAGAAATCGTTCTAAATAAAACTGAGGCAAGCCAAATGGTCAGTTAAATAGTTTGATATACTCTATATGTATCACTTATTGCTTACATAGCGGTTGGGAAAAGGATTTGAAATATATATATTTAAATTTTTAATTTTTTTTTTCGAATCAGAGGTCTTGTTCAAAACTCTGGATTAGGTGCTTTCGTTTCCGGACTTTTGTGTCTCAGAAATTTGTGTCCCAGACAAAATTGTCCAAAGAACTGAAAAACACACAAAAAAAACTTTTGTATCCCTAAATTGTTAAGCTTTAAGTTGCAGTTTTCCTGTCAGCTGAAGAAGAAAAACACTTAGTAGACATGGCTCGCCTATTAAATATAACCTCATGTGAATAAAATTGCAGAATTAGAACATGGGCGATTTCGTCTCGGAGATGAATTTCTCGGAAAACTTCAATTCTTTTTTGACTATATTTTGTCTGGGACACAGTTGCCCGGGACGCAAATGGCTATGCATCGGGCGCTTTAAATTTGGATTTGAAAGGACGCCATGCTTTCTTTAAAGGCCCAAAACAAAATTCTGCAATGCGGCAGCTCAAGCACACAAAATCCAAACAAATTGATTTCTTCATTATTTTCCTGATACGCTTTTAATAGAAATAGTTTTTCTATTTAATTGTTTGTATCTCTATAACTTTTGAACTTTGATTTTAAGTTTACTGTTTTAATTCTACTTTTTTTGCTGTTGTAAATTACATCAGCCTTTTGTAACCAAATTTGGTTGTACAGATTTTATCATAAGAAGTATTTTGTTATTCAAACTATTTTCAGTTAATCACATTATTTTGTCATTTTTGTAAACGCTATTTTTATCAGCATTTTTTATTTTTTGGTAATTATACCGGCTTAATTTGTTTCATATATAGCTGTATCTTGAATTAAAGGACATTATTTTATGACAAGAAGAGAAAGAATAGTTTGTTCACACATATGAGTATTTGACGATTCGCTTTTTTGTTCATTTATTTTATTTTCAGAGTTACCGTAACCTTTATTTAGCATGTGTGGTAATACATGAACTTTCGACTGTAATAACTTTCATTTTCTTCTGTAAAAACTTATTTTCATTTTTACGGTAACATTTATTTAGCATTTAATTTACGTAATTTTATTTTGTGTTGAAAAGTTTCTTTGCCAGTGTCTATTTTTCTTCAAAATGTCGTCTTCAAACTCGGGTAAACCGTTTACATTATTAACCGGACTCCAATAAATATTTTGTGCTTCGTTTAAAACTTTGAAATCCACAATTTTGGTTTTAAAATATTATCAAACAAATTGCCAAAACCTCCAACTCCTTAAGATCAGTAGCATAAACTGAGGTGGTAGGCTCAAAATTTAAAATTTGAAAAACATTTGACGACATAGGAATTGGTCTGAAGAATCAACCACTATTAAAAAAACTAGATATTTTCATTTGTCATGGAATTTTATTTAAAGTACACAAAATTGCCAGAACTTCAGGTAGACATCATTTGTCTCCGGATTCCAGATACAAAAGCTTTTAGTTCATTTAAAAGGTGAGTCTGCAGAATTCAGAAGTAAACAAGCACCTTAGTGGGCTATGTTTTAAATTTCTGAGCTTAGCACTATTTTGTGCCCGGTGATCTCTTCGTATCTGGAAGCTTCTGGAACAAGAACTAAACTATTTTTTCTTAAAAAGTTTTAATCTTCACTAAAAATTATTAATAACCAGAAAATAATGATCCACAACACAAACATATTATTATTTGTACAAGCTGAAACTATCTGTAGTTTTGGCTCAGGGATTGTTTTAACCATATCAAAGACAATTGCTTTCTCCCCCTCAAGCCTCGCCTAAACCAGTATTTTACTAGATCTATTGAGACTAGGAATTATAAGAGTAAGACTAAGATCGGTAATAGACTAGGAAATTGTACGAACATATACGTACGAAAATAGATAACGTAACGAGCAGAAGATGTAACTTGTCTGAAATTACGCTGTGAGAAAACCAGCCCGGACTTAACTCATCTGGTGCGGTTAAAGAGTCTAGAGTCTCGAAACGCACCCCACACAAACTTAGCTTAGACAAAAAAATAAAACAAGATGAAAAACTTGGTTATAAATTAGCTTATTTCCACGTCTCAAAAAATCTAATGGAGACGAGCCAAAACAAAACGTTAAAAGCATATACAAAAAGAAAACGGACGATACGTAAACCTGCACCACAAAGCAACAGAAGACAATGACGACAAAAACTAACTAACTGTGCAGTTCATTTTATTTATTAATGTAAAACTGCATCAAAATAAAACCGTAAACCTTACTTTAATTGTATATTTTTGTTAATAAGTCTTTGATTCTAAAAAAATGTCGACATAAAGCATCATCTGATTCAACTCTCTAAACTCTAGGGTATTTTTTCTAAAAGAAAATTTTAACAAAGTTATTTCATAAAAAACAAAAGGCAAAAATTAGTATAGAATTTAATTTTGATTTTAAAAAATTGCGTTGAAGAATCATTAGCTATTTTTAAGCCTCCACTTCATTTGTAAAACATAATCCAAACAAAAACAATATAACAAGCAAGTTCTCAAGATCATCAAGATTTCTCTTGGATCTTAAACAATTAAACCTGAAATTATTTAAACTGTGCTTATCCTTACATTTGTGATTCTTAAATATCGAATTAGTTTATTTCATACAGATTATCAAGAACTCTCTTTGGATCTTTTTAATTTTAAAGATTTTATTTCAAAAATCAGCCCATCCATTATTTAGTGTCTTACGACATCAAACTTCGATTCACTACCCAAAGTTTTCAAACAACCGAAGACTAATTGAATTCTTTAAATTTAAATTAAGCTGAATAGTAAAGTACTTCGATTAATCATCCATCGCTTGAGCCTCACATCTTCTAATAACCCAGACTCAAAACCATCTTCGAAATATTAATCATAAAAAAGTACCTAACGATCTACTTGTGCTCTAATCATACCCGAACCTTGTGGAATGAGTTACTATTCTCCAACCCTCGATCACAGATTGATCCCTTTCTAAGTAAGATTGCGATATCCATAAATGTAGAAAACGCCACATACGTTTGAGAGCAGTAAATATCATTCTAACGCATGTTGAGACAGGTAAACATCATTTCTCAACTACCACAAAGCTCAAATGACACGTTTGAGCAAATAATTGAACAACCTTGAAGGATTTATTTTCGTTCTCAAAATACTAACGGTTTTAACCCACAACAGGATGCCAAATTGGATCCCTGAAACAATCGTTTTCCTACCCATCTAACCTACAACGCCATACTTCTCATCCTAATCGTGATTAACTCATCATCTCCCCTGTACCGGTATTTGATTTCACTTATTCCATTATCTCGTCTATTTCATCCCACATGTACTCTGACAATTCATCACAGACAGCTTTTGAAAAACGTTACTACTTAGAAAACCCAGCGTTTGACACTTCAGATGAATTGTTTTTCTCCGATCCAAGCCCTACCCCTATCCCGTC